TTCTAACAATATCCCAGGAAGCTGTGTGACTGAAGGTTAACTTTATCTGTTAACAATATCCCAGGAAGCTGAGTGACTGAAGGTTAACTTTATCTGTTATAGATAACCCAGGAAGCTGTGAGACTGAAGGTTGACTTTATTTATCTACTAACAATAACCCTGGAAGCTTTGAGGTTAACTTTATCTGTCAATGATAACCCAGGAAGCTGTGAGACTAAAGGTTGACTTTATTTATCTACTAACAATAACCCTGGAAGCTTTGAGACTGAAGGTTAACTTTATCTGCTAACAATAACCCGGGAAGCTGTGGGACTGTACTTTAATTTTATTTATCTACTAACAATATCCCAGGAAGCTGTGGGACTGTACGTTAACTCTATCTATCTGTGCTAGCACTAACCCAGGAAACTGTGGGACTGTACGTTAACCTTATTCATCTGCTAACAATAATCCAGGAAGCTGTGGGATTGTACGTTAACTTTATTTATCTGCTAACAATAATCCGGGAAGCTGTGGGATTGTACGTTAACTTTATTTATCTGCTAACAATAACCCAGGAAGCTGTGGGACTGTACGTTAACCTTATTCATCTGCTAACAATAATCCGGGAAGCTGTGGGATTGTACGTTAACTTTATTCATCTGCTAACAATAATCCGGGAAGCTGTGGGATTGTACGTTAACTTTATTTATCTATTAACAATAATAATACGAAAAGCTGTGGGACTGTACGTTAACTTTATTTATCTGCTAACAATATCCCAGGAAGCTGTGAGATTGTACGTTAACTTTATTTATCTGCTAACAATAACCCAGGAAGCTGTGGGACTATACGTTAACTTTATTTATCTGCTAACAATAACCCAGGAAGCTAGGATAATATACATTAACTTTATGTTATTTAGAACATAGGTGACAATATCTAAAACTCAAAGGAACATAAAACTGTCTATTGGCAGTTATTAAATATTAATTCTATAAACTATATCGTGTTTACATGGATTGAAGAATATCAGACAGAGTTTATATTGTGTTTACACGGATGGCAGAATATCAGACGGAGTTTATATTGTCTGCTTGCAGTAACATTTTATCAACAAGTCTGTCGAATTAGTCATGATACAAACAGGGCACTGTTGATAGGTATCAGTGAGTCACTTGAAGCCGCCCAGCTTGTCGCCGAAGAACCAGTTTTCTGGTTTAGAAGCATAGCAACAGTGCTGTCGGGTGCTATACTTTGCACCAGTCTTATAGGGGCCACGTTCGGTCTTAAATCTTAACTCTATAAATGGTCATAACTACGAAAGACATTGCTCAATGAAATACGTCATATTGATGTGTGTGTGAGTGAAAGACTGTGCCGGAAGAGGTCGCCAATTTCAACAAATAAAACAAAACTAGGCGTGTGCGTGTCTATCACATAGTTTTGTGTGACACAGTGATGTGTCGAAAATCTACAAAATGCAAACTTTTAATCAGTATTTCAGATATATACACCGAACTGTTGGCCAGATATTCAATATTATGTGATAGTCTGTGAGTCTTGGCGTATTAATCTTTCCAAAAGTCAAAAACCGCAAGACAAAGAGCTAGTAAACCCTGACGAGGACTGGTCCCTGCTAAAGAATTAAATAGTAAACTCTGAGAAGGACTGGTACCTGCTAAAAAATAAATAGTAAACTCTGAGAAGGATTGGTACCTGCTAAAGAATTAAATAGTAAACTCTGAGAAGGATTGGTACCTGCTAAAGAATTAAATAGTAAACTCTGAGAAGGACTGGTACCTGCTAAAAAATAAATAGTAAACTCTGAGAAGGATTGGTACCTGCTAAATAATTAAATAGTAAACTCTGAGAAGGATTGGTACCTGCTAAAGAATTAAATAGTAAACTCTGAGATGAATTGGTACCTGCTAAAAAATAAATAGTAAACTCTGAGAATTATTGGTACCTGTTAACAAGAAGTAAATACTAAACTCTGAGAAGGATTGGTACCTGCTAAAGAATTAAATAGTAAACTCTGAGAAGGATTGGTATCTGCTAAAGAATTAAATAGTTAACTTTGAGAATTATTGGTACCTGTTAATAATAAATTTGGGATGGATTTAAAACTCATAGAAAGAGGGGAATTTAAGGTCAAAGGGTTAACAATCGATAACTTTAGAAATCTTCTTGTTTGTCACTTTCATGATTTGTGTCACATGACGACACCATTTTAAATTCCAAAAGTCCGAATTCAACATCCTAGTTATGTCTTGAGAGATATGACGAGTAGTCCAGTTTCGCCATCTGTGTTTATGTTTTCTCAATACGGAAAGTTCACCTTGCCAACATTGCCCTACAGTCGTTCTTGCTATCATGCAAGGATATTCATGAATCAACTGTTGTCCATTAAGTTGGGAAAGACAGCAGTGTGTCTGTGAATATTTGTTTA